TTGTAATCAACTTTGTTATACGAAAGTCTTTTTCTCAGTCACCACTAATTTGTCTACAAACGACGATTGGGTGAGTGTCTATGGAACGCCCACAGTGCCTTCAGCGGCGGCTATAGCGTTCGACTGCGCATTTAAGCTTGGTTCCCATTTGCAGAAAACCTGCCGCAACGCAACGTACGCAACGCAACGTAAGGAAATGCTCATCCAGCAATTTCGTATCCCCCTCTTTACGGAAAGTTGAATTTGCACTTCTGACGTGACGCAACGCAACAAAATGGATACGGATCCCACTTGTCGCCTTGCAAACGCAATAATTTTCATGGTAAGCTTTCAAAAACCGGTATGAAATTATCATTTATCGCAGGGCAACCAATGTATTGTAGGGTAGGGACTGGGTTGTGTTCTGGGTATTAGCCTATAAATACAAATAGTGCTTCAAATTTAATTGATTTTTTCTTTTTAACATTAACTGTAATTATAGGCCTCCCCTCAGGAAAAAATAAAACAATCATTATAAATCAACAATTATAGGCCTATATAGATTAGGCCAAGGTCCGATTAATAGATATACAGTTTACACTTATTTAATTATTAATATAACATTATCTAAATACTGCGCCTAGGCCTCATTTTACTAGGTAATATTTTAGTTTATTAATTTGGCATATCAATTTAAATATTTATAAATTGTATGACATTTTCACATCTATAAATAGAAAAGAAAGTGTTCCAGGGGCGAAATGACAATTAAGGGGATTCAAATGCGTATCGATAGAGTCTACTAATAGGCCTATATACCGGTACATTGTTTTTCTCGCCAACGGGAGAGGGGGAGGTATATCTCCTCAACGGGGCCCTCCTCCGGTCCCCCTCTTGGCGTCACCCCTGTGTAATATATAAATAGTTTTTGAAGAACGATTGGGCAAGATTGCATATACATGTTTACAGTCTTATATAGATAGGCATACCATGCAGTACAAAAGCACCGTCAAGCTAGGCTGTGATATGATAGACTATGAAAACAATAATAGTAATAATACAGTAGCAGCAACATCATTGATAACAGCAGCCAATAATAATAATAATAATTATTATTATTTAAGTGGTGATGGCTAGGGCGTTGGCGACGGTCTAAGATGACAGATAACTCATCGCCAAAATGTAAACAGGAAGCACTAACTACAAATCCATCAGTTAGTGCATGCGTAAATTAGCTTTTTCCTTGCGTTGCGGCGCTTGCGTTGCGAAAAGTTGAATCGATTCAACTTTTCGCAAACAATGCAAAGACGATCCGCAAACAACGCAAAAGTTGAGTAGCGTCGATGTTGTGTTGCGTTGCCAAGTTTGCGTCGTCGGTTCCCATTGGAAGCCGCAAAACCCTCGCGTTGCGTCACTTTGTGTCGATACGTTGCGTTTGCGTCGTTTCGTTGCGTCCTGGTGGGAACCAAGCTTTACCATTCGACGACCCATTCCATTCGGTGCACTTGGCATGCGCCGGCGACTTTTTCATTCGCCGGCGACTAGAGCATTTTGCAACTACATCAATCGGCGACTTTAGCATTCGGGGGTTACAGTCTACATCATTCGGCGATTTTAACATTCAGCGACTATTAGGCCTATATCAATTGGCGACCATCCAATAGGATAAAACGGGTCATTTCCAACGCCTGCTTACAAGCCTAACTTTCATAACTTTATATTTGTTGTTAATCTGGTTCTTCTTGTTTGTGTTTGTGATTTTCTACTGCATTTGAACAAGAATAATGATAATAATACACGTGATATTTTGATGTTACTTGTAACACTAATAAATGAATTCCTGTGATCTAAGACAATGATTCTGTGACATTTAAAAGGGCTCGGTTGTTGTAGTCCTGTGTCATTGGCCCATCCAGTACTCTGGCGTGTTTGGTACTTGACAATTCCTAATACAATCCTCGGAAAGCATTTTATTAATTTTTACTTGTCAATGGTTTTGTAGGTCTAAGTATTTATACATTACTATGTAAATAGGCCTACAGGATTATTCTAGTTATTGTTCAGCTATTAAATAAGAATTAGCTGTGTAAATTGAAATACTAATATAGTCCTGGGGCTTAAGCAGAATTAATAACATGTACCGGTAGACGCTATTGACTTTTAAACATGAAATACTAAAACATTAGAAAAACAGATATATACTTATTATACAGTATACTATTTTTTAAAATTTTATTTCATCAAAGTCCAACAATGACCAAAGTCACCCTTTACAGGATTGAATAATAACATCTAAATATAAACAGGTGAATATACAGTTACGATAAGTAAGAATAACTAAATATACTAAATACAAAACTTTTTGACGAAAACACATAAGAGAATCACATAAAATGTCAATAGAAAAATCAGTTTTACATAAAGAATTGTATAACTTAGGCAGACGATTAATAAACCCATGATTAGTAACGTTGACTCTCCCACCAGGTATTGAAAAAAGAACAGGATTACGTAATTGATATTTTGGTACAGAAAGAGAAAAATTAACGGCAAAATTTCCATCGTAAATAGCATTCATACATTAAAGAAGGAAAATTAAATCAAAAAGTTTATGGCGGTCAGCTAAAGGGGTCAAAAAAAAAAAAAACAACCAAAATTGCGAGAATAAAATCTAAGAAACTTATTTTGAACACGTTGTAACCTAGTCGACTGATGCAGAGAAATAGAATTGAAAATAACACAACAAGATTTGAGATTGGTCTAACTAAAGTAACTAAAGCCTTACTATCGTTAATATGTCTGCAATGCTTCCAGAGAAAACCAAGTAATTTGTTACTTTTGGAGACAATGAAATTAATATGATTACAAAAAGTTAAAGAACTATCGAAGAAAACACCAAGATCGATGCAGCAAATGTTGTGCTCTCTGATTTTCCACAAGGGCCAGCGGGATAACCAAAAAGTAAAATAAATTGCTGTCAAAGTGGATCTCCATCGGATGTGAGGAATCCGAGAACAACAAAACACAAAGAAAATGTACAATTAATACAAATTTAAATTGCAATATAGAAAATAATAAGCATTTCAATTACTATGAAAATCATCATTATGATATTTTTCATATATATATATATATATATATATATATATATATTCAATCGATGTTGTTTATGTGGATCCACGTATGTCTCATCGTATGTATTTAATATATAAGTAGACGCAGACAAAATAAACTGCAACGATACTTTGATTTGTAGGAGACATAGAAATAAATAAATAAATAAATAAATATATATATATATATATCCTATGTATAGGCCTGCTGTATATATAGGCCTATACTATTTATATTATAATAATAAGTAATACTAAATAGACATATAAACACATAAATATGTATTTTATATATGTATACATGTGTGTGTGTATGTATGGATGTATATATATATATATATATATATATATATGTATATATATATATATATATATACAGTATATATATTATATATAACCGTAGTGTAAGCTTTATTTATAATATTCAAAATAACAGTTATACACTATCACTTATTTTGATTGATTTGTGCTGTTTATATTAATTGACTTTTTGAAATTTTATTTTTTTTTATCAATGTTGCAAGTGAAATAAGTTTGATTTTGTTTTGTATTTGAAATTATAAAATAATATATATATATATATATATATTTATATATATATACAGTATATACATTATATATAACCGTATTGTAAGCTTTATTTATAATATTCAAAATAACAGTTATACACTATCACTTATTTTGATTGATTTGTGCTGTTTATATTAATTGACTTTTTGAAATTTTATTTTTTTTATCAATGTTGCAAGTGAAATAAGTTTGATTTTGTTTTGTATTTGAAATGATAAAATAATAAAATAAACATAATTAAATTAATTAAGGAAAATTAGGGATAAAAAAATCATGTGTCCTCAATTATTAAGATGAAGGTAGTGGAGAAGACCAATCTGCCAAGAAGCCTAGCTTAAGCCTGTTACTTAAGTAAGCACTTTACAATAATACAACGCTTTTCAAAATTTCATTTAACTATTATTATATACAGGGACATAAGGTGGTTTTGGAGGGAGTGAGGAGGGGCGTGGATGCGCGATAAAGGGAGGTGTGGCAACCTTACTAAAACGTTAACGAATACAAATACGTCATTACCATCGTCGATATTCTGAATTTTGATTCAAAATTGCTTAGGTTTGCCTCCCAATATATTGCAAAATCTCTTTCCTCTATAATAAATTTGTCTGTGTAACAGGGATTTTACCGTCAACTCTTATAAATTTGTCCCCCTTCCCTCAGCCTAAGTCCACAAGTAATATTATTAACCACCCAGCCAAAGACGTTGGTCTTCGTCGGCACCAAATACCGTGGGTCTTGACCCCAAAAAAGGTTTTTCTATTTTATCGTACGAAATAGGCCTATGCTTTACGTTTACGTTGGTGTAGGCCTTCACCAGATCAACGTTGCTGCCACTTCCACTTTAAGTAGAAACAAAAATCTCTAAATAATATTTTACTTTTTAAAAGTATGATATATAATATTTTTTAAACAATCGTGTGTTTCATCGTGTTTTGGCCTCTGGCCTTTACAGTATGCGATTTACATTATTCCCCTCCGGTCATTTACTCAAACAGATGACGCATAATTATCCTCAGCTCTCTGGGGAGGATAATTCCATAAGTAGCCATAATCAGTGGAAAGAGACAAACATAGATAAGTATCTTGCCCAACGACACAATCGACAGTGAGGGCTTCGATCCCCCAACCTGAAAATTGAGAGTCCGGGCCACAATAACGGATGTGACAGCAACGCTGTTTCGACTTTGCGGGGTAGAGCTCATGCTGGACACCAAATCGGGTGCGCCTATGTGATTTAGTGTTTTTCGTTATTTTCTTTATTGAAAATGATAATTTCGAAGATTTATACATTTTTAAATTGAATTTCGAACTGCGTAAATCATAAATTTATTTCCTTACCAACTGTCGTGATTACTGTGATACAGAACATAATAGAACTTGACAAACGCCAAACCTCTTTGGCAGGCGTTACTCCGTGGTCAAACGATTTGTACAATTTGTCTTCGTAAATTTTCATTTCTTCTGATGCCGGACCTATCCACTCTCCGTATGTAGTATTTTCTGGTCTCGAGTCGTTCCAAAGTCTTCCCAAAAGTTCATCTCTTGCTTTCAGTATTTCACTTATTTCCTTTTGCTCGTGTTCACTTTCAAGGTACTGCATGAGAAACGCTCCAGAAAGGATGTACCCACTTAAGACGAAAAAGCCACCAAGACGAATAAATAGTCGAGGCACCCAATATCGTGGGTCTGCCTTTTTGCTCATATAACTAGCCATGGATTTGGCCTTGTGTAGACCAGTAGAAATGGTACTGTCTTCATCTTTTTCAATTGAAGGACCTTTTGCTCCGTCTTCCACAGATGGTTTCAGTTGTTGACTTGAGTTGATACTCATTTTTAAGTACTAAAAAAAATATGCGCCTCAAACAGACGTCTTCGTAATACAAGTTCACGTAGCCTAAGAAATGTTCTATTTCTGAGGCCTGAATACTTCTTATGCATAAATTCATATTCATTCGACTCGTAAAGTCAGTGACTCGATAATTCATGAAAAGACGTTTCGCTTGGAAAAATTGATGTGAGCGAGTCTAATAATCGATGTACTGTAAATTTAGCAGCATCAAGCCAAGCAAGTTATTGACGCTACCAACGCGACGATAGATTTTATTGAATTCTATTGATTTGTAAAAAATAACAGAATTTTAAGCCCTTAATCTACCCGAACATTCTACAATTGAATTATTAAACTAAACAATTAACCAGTGTAATAAAATAGGAAATCCAAATGTAACGGACATTGTTTCAATTCTCAAGTTATATCAATACTAATCACTCTTGGAAATGTTACAATAAACTTCTTTATCGTATCTAGTTAAGCGTTTGGGCGAGAGAATGTTCCTGCTTCTTTGCTGAGTTCAAGTCGATCGCTCGACTCCTCCACGAATAACCATCGCATAAGATTTAGACGAGACAGGGACATACGGTAGATACTGACGCAATGGTCGCCACGGATCCCCAAGTGCTCAGCCACAATGTTTAATTCCAAATTTCAAATTTTTATTTTATTAGGTTTATATTATAATAGGTCGACTTTAAAATATAATTCTAACCTTAATATAGATTTTGTAATTAACAGCATCATTCTATTATATAATGGCCTTATTTACAATGGCTAAAAATAGGGTTTTGAATATTTGAGACTGGTATTGAAATGTGTGATGATTTGTAGAGTAGACCTAAATTGATATGATTAACGGAACATTCATTTTAAATGATTTTTTAATCCAGTATGGTCGAGAAATTTCACAGGTTATTTTGAGGGTTGGAACTATTTGCTCAGTTAGATTAGATTAAAAAAAACTTTATCCTCATCTTATGTTTATCAATAACTGGGTTGGAATTGATGAGGAGACGGTGCTTAAAAAATCAATTAAAATACCAAATTTGCAATAATAACAAAGATGAAAAAATAAAAAATAAAACAAATTATTATTTACGGTTGATATTAATCACATTTAAAAAATATAATTACGTCTCATCATATAAGCATAATATGGAGATGGGCAAAACTTTCTTCATCTTCATTTCTATCTTCATGGCAACGGATAAACAACGATACATAGCGCCATGGGGTGCAGC